TCCAATATGATCAGTTTTTTCCAGATTCATCACTGATGAAACATTTAGTTATTTAAATATGATTTATGTCTTTGGTGGAATAAACCTGTTGTTTCTACTGTAGGTCTAATAAACCTCCTGCTGTCTTTTGTTTTTAGTCTTAAACCTCTGGACATCGAGTTCATGAAAAGACTCCATGACAAAGTCAACGTCATCCCTCTCATTGCGAAAGCAGATACTCTGACTCCTGAGGAGTGCCAGCTGTTTAAAAAACAGGTATGGGTTCTTGTACTAACTTATACTCAAGTCAAATTTAATTAATATTTAAAGAAAAAATGTATATGTCAGAACACTAGAACAGGTTGAGCTGGTCAAATGGTTGGCAACCAGCGGCTGTTTAACTTAAATAAGGTGGTGTAAATATAAAAAAAAAACCCTCCACCCTGGTGTCTGTGTGCTACGTTTGTAACTGTATAATCTTTTTCACAGATTATGAAAGAAATCCAGGAACACAAAATCAAAATCTATGAGTTCCCAGACACAGAGGACGACGAGGACAACAAGCTCATCCGAAAGATAAAGGTAAAGGACCAGAGCCTCGTCTGGGAGTCTTCACAATCTCCAGTGGATTGGCATCAGCAGGCAGACAGATAAGAACAGACAGACAGAGTCACAGACAGACAGACAGATGGTTGTCAGTAAAACCCTCAGCCCTGCGTCTAACCCTGTTGTCTGACAGTCAAACTGCTGAACTGATTTTGAGGAAGAGTCATTGAAGGGTGACCAGAGTCAGCTGTTTTACAGGTGTAAATAACTGTTTCCCTGTGTTTTATTGTCTTCCCCACTTCAGGAGAAAATGCCCCTGGCAGTTGTCGGAAGCAACGTGGTGATCGAGGTGAATGGGAAGAAGGTCAGAGGTCGCCAGTATCCGTGGGGCGTGGCAGAAGGTTGGTTCTCTGTGGTTCACTTGTAGAAACGAGAGAAGGAAAACTCCTGGTTTGTGTCCGAGCTGTTGAAACATGTTTATTTTG